GCCTTTCAATGGTCATTCTGTCATCAAATGTTATAGATTGAATTAAAAAAATGGATTGTTAACCTACTTCTTCCTTCTCCAATTTTTACCACGCATCATATAAGCAATCAATCTTCAATCTTTGTCCATAGGGTTCAATTGTAAACAATCATGGTAATTCCATTAGAATACTTTTTGGGTTTTTGGACTAAAAGTTAGCTACTTTCACGGTTTGAAAATTCAAATCAACTTGCACTTAGGTTTTGAAACCTTAACTTTTTCATGTTTATATTTGAAAAAATTTAAAGGTTAATTACAGAGAGGTCCCCTAAATTTATTGAAAGTATTAATTTAATTCGCCCTAAACTTTAAAAAAATGTACCATGGACTCCCTAAACTATTGAGAAGTATCCATTTTTCCCTCTAAACTTATAAAACGTATAATTAGACCCTAAAACTATTGCCGTGTTTTCACTTTAACCCTTTCCGTTATTGGTCAATTTGTAAATTTTTTTAAATAATTTTAGAGACATTTGTATGCTTTATAGTTCTAGAGGAGTAAAGTATACTTCGTAGTTTAGAATGATCCATTTGTATTGTTTTTATAGTTTAAGAGGGTTAAAGTGATACTTCTAAATAGTTTAGGATGTAATTAATGTAAATAACCAGAATTAAAAAACTAGGAATATGATTTTTTTTAACTTTTTTTTGGAAAACTAGAAAGAAGGAGACATTTTTCTTTATTGTAAATAAGTGCAAACCAAATTTTTTAGTGGTTACAAGTTTTTTTAAATGAAAATAGACACTATAGATAAGTTTTTGTTTAGTTATTTTTTAAAATTATTATAAATAAAACAAAAAACAATTATAAATACTAAATTTAAAATTGATATAAAAATTTGGTTGCTAATACTGTTTTTCTTCTGTATAAAAGTGAAATTGATTTCGCAAATTCTTTAAAACTTTAAATTAAATTTTCATTCTCTCATGCTTCCACATTCCCCCAACACCCTTTGCTAAGTCACCATCATCATTTCTCGCTTTTTGGCCCTCTGAAGTGAACTCCCGAAAATTTTGAGACCACTGACCAATGTTTTGAAAATCTGATCAATGAGCGAATCAAAAAAGAGATTGGATGGATGGATCACCATTCAAATCGTCGGGTCAAAAGCAGTTGAACTGTAACGTAATAATTAATTATTATATAAATTAAAGTGTAATTATAAGTTTAATAATAAATAAATATATAATAAATACTCAATAAAATAAAATTGTTACATATCATTTATTATATATTTATAAAGTTATAATTGATAAGAAAAAGTCACTTGTTTTAAAAAAATTTTTTTTTTTTTTTAACATTCTCACTAAACAAATTAAATTCAATGCTTGATTTAATTTTGGAGGGAAATGAATTTTCAACTGCTCCCTCCAATCAATATGATTAAAAATAATTTTGATTGAATCCCACATTAAATTTTGTCGGTTTTCTGCTTTGAAAAAATCGTTTTTCCCTATAAATAGTATAAACTGTTCAAAATCTCTTCAAGCTTCAATAACACTCCTCCTCGTTGTTAATATATATATGGTATATATTCCTACATATATTAGGTATTGATTTCCTAAATATATTAGGTATTGCCATAGTTAGGTCTCTTATAGGATACTCTTTCTCAACCTATAATACCTAGCTAGGTCTCTTATAGGATACTCTTTCTTATAGTTAGATTTCTAATAGTATACTCTTTCTCAGTCTATATATACCGGCCTTTTATTGTATTCAATACAATACATATTATTTTCTCTCTCTCTCTACTATTCTATTAGGGGGAATGAGGAAGGATGAGAGAATGAAAATTTATTTAAATTTTAAAAAAATTTGAAATCAATTTCACTTTCATGAAAAAGAAAACAATATAGCAAACAAAATTTTTATACCAATTTTACGTCTATATTTATTTTTTTTTGTTTATATTTATAATAATTTTAAAAATAATAAACAAAAACTTATCTATAGTGTCTATTTTCATTTTAAAAAACTTGTAACCACTAAAAAATTTGGTTTCACTTATTTTACAAATAAAGAAAATGTCCCTTCTTTCTAGTTTTCCAAAAAAAAGTAAAAAAAATCATATTCCTAGTTTTTTAATTCTGGGTTATTTACATTAATACATCCTAAACTATTTAGAAGTATCACTTTAACCCTCTAAACTATAAAAACATACAAATGGATCATCTAAACTATCGAAGTATTACTTTACTCTCTAAACTATAAAAGCATACAAATGTCTTAAACTATCGAAGTATTACTTTACTCTCTAAACTATAAAAGCATACAAATGTCTCTAAATTATAAAAAATTACAAATTGGACCAATAATGAAAGGGTTAAAGTGAAACACGCCAATAGTTTAAGGGTCTAATTATACGTTTTTATAGTTTAGAGGGAAAAAATGATACTTCTCAATAGTTTAGGGAGTCCATTGGTACATTTTTAAAGTTTAGGGAATTAAAGTAATACTTCTCAATAATTTAGGGGACCTCTCTGTAATTAACCCTTTAATTTTTTCAAAATATAAACATGAAAAGTTAAGGTTCAAACCTAAGTGCAAGTTGATTTGAATTTTCAACTTGAAAGTAGCTAAACTTTTAGTCCAAAAACCCAAAAAGTTTCTAATGGAATTACCCATGATTGTTTACAATTGAACCCTATGGACAAAGATTGAGATGATGCTATATATGATGGTGGTAAAAAGTTGAAGAAGAAGAAGTAGGTAACATCCATTTTTTTATTCAATTATAACATTGATGACAGAATGACCATGAAAGCACCAGAGTCATCTTCACATATCTATAAATAGTTGCTTACCCAACTTCACCTTCGTCATCAGATCCTTCAAAGCTCTCTGTAACATCTTGTTTTTTCTGCGAAAAAAGAACTTTCTTTCTATTCGAATCACTTTATTAGTCTCCAAACATGTCTCTCATTCCAAGCTTTTTGGCAAATGATGAACCAATGTCTTCGGATATTTGGGACCCCTTTGATGGCTTCTTCACCTGTTCCCTCTCCAACTTCCCAACCTCGACTCGAGATGCCTCTCAATTCGCCACAACAAGGAATGATTGGAAGGAGACCCCGAAAGCTCATATATTCAAAGCTGACTTTCTGGGGCTTAAGAAAGAAGAGGTGAAGGTCGAGGTGGAAGAAGGCTGAATTCTCTAGATAAGTGGGGAGAGGAGCAAGGAGGAAAAGAATGGCAAGTGGCACAATATGGGGCAGAGCAGTGGGAAGTTCCTCCAGTGATTCAGGTTGCCGGAGAATGCCAAGATGGATCGAGTCAAGGCTAGGATGGAGAATGGGGTACTCACTGTGACTCTGCCCAAAGAGGAGGGGCAGAATGCCAAGGTTAAGGCTATTGGGATCTCTGGTTGAAACAAACATCATGCTTTGTTAACAAAGAAATAAAATTAAAAAAATAATTTTAAAAAAATCAGGTGTGTTTGTATGTGTGAAAATGGTGGCCTGAGTGCATTTGAAAAGGATAAAAATGGAATGTAGATTTTTGTTACTTGTTTTGAATAAATAAAAAATATTTACTATCAGTTTGCTTTCTCAAAACACTATTGTTTCAAATTTCACCTCATCCATTTTTTTTTTTAATTTTAAAATTATCTATATAAATTTAAAATCCAAACCCCAGCACAAAAGCATGTACAATATCTAGTGGCAAAACTTGAAGAAAATATGCCGGGTTAACTAGGAAAAATAAAAATGTAATTTATCCAAACATTAGCATGTGCCAACGGTGAATCCATAAACAGTTTCATAAAAACTTGTGTAATTTCAAACCTACGCTAGGTATGCAGACCTGAGGAAGAGAATGAAAGCATCTACTTTTATTCAGCCGAACTCAATATGTCTAAGAAATGTTATGTTGCTTTAAATGTGAGTTACTGATTACCCAATTTTTGATCTGTCCTTCAACGTTAGAACAGATCAAAAATTTTTATTATCAAATATGTGACTAAATGTAGTTCGCTGTAGGTGTTTAGGGCAGACACTACTATAGAGCAGTTTGAAACAAGATCCACAACTCAACATCCTACTCGTCAGCTTTGGAGATCTCCAAGACCAACATGGTTGTGCTATGAAAATCAATTGGAGACACGTTACTATTGGTTCCTTGTGTACAAGACCATTGAGTACAACTATACTGCTAGCTCTTCGATGACGTATGCTTGTTTGAGCAAAATAGCTTATCACAACCTCAAAATCCCCAAACCACCTAGGTATGTTATTGCAAAATTTTCAAAATACCTAGCTTATCACAAACCCGAAATTCCCAAACCACATTACAAATAATAAAATTGACATAAGGATAGACTTCAGTCTTAAAAACATATGATCCTTCACGATTGACGCAACAAACTCCACAAAGAAAGAATGAATGTAGAGACTTTTATGTAGCACAACTCTGTTAAATCAAAGAACATCAACTGTGAATAATTAGCAACAACAATTGTCTAACCAATTTGATTCCTCAACTCTAAGCAATACCTATAATTACAGCAAACTCAGCAATGTAAATCAAGAAAGTTGTTTTACATTAAATCTAAGTGTAGGTTCCCCATCAATACACAACATTATCCAGTTCTCAGAATTCCCTGGAAGTGCAGTTGTTTGGCTCGGATGCAGTAGATGGGCCAGCTACTTCAATTTTGGCATTGCATCTCGAAAGTAATTTCTGCCATTATTTTCAATTGAAATCTTTAAATCACTGAATGTTGATTGTTGCCCAAAATGTTTAGACCAACAAAAGATTATGAAAATATTTTAACAACACAAAACATCAACACATGGTTTGCTTAATTTTTGGGAACGGACCAAAAATTAGACTACAGCATAAAGTTGACTTGCACCCTAACAAGGCTCACAGACTTCATGTCAAAAGGTTTGCAACACTTAAAAAAAATATGTAACTGTAGTATATGTCTTCAGGTGCTCTTTCTCTGCTATGAAAATTAAAATCAACAATATGATCACCCAAAAGATTTCTTCAAGCAAAACCCAATCTCTTCAAGCAAGCCTCACATACCTTTGAGGTACTCAAAGTCATTAACCACAAAATAAGCATAACATTTCATTTCAAGAAATCAATCACTTTAGCTGTCTGGATTCATCTAAATGAAATTAAGTTAAAAGAGTTATCTACCGTCTATTCCAAATCTAAGCCATACTCTTCATATTCTTCTTAAAGCTATAAAGTATTCCGAGGAATCATCTTTGGCCCGTTTCCATGTAGGAGCTGAGCCTGAAATGTATTTTTCCACATATGTTGCTTCCCCCCTCAACTCTTCCTCTTCCCAATTGCCGTCAGGTGATATAACCAAACTTTCCTCATACATAACTGCATTTACCAAACTTTTCCTCATACATAACTGCATTGATAAAGTAATTACTGTCAAAAGTTAGAATATTTGTATCCAAATTGTCAGGCTCAGAGGTAAAGTGACATTTTTGAGAGATTCCAAGTAATAGAGAAAGCAACTAATGAGGAGAAGAGGGATATCGACATGATCAATTAGCTGATCCATCATAAGTCCAGACCGGTATTTTAAATTCTATTTGAAAAACCAATTCAAGAAACTACTTATTAGATACATCACTCAGCACACTGTATAATATTGAAGAAGAAAATGAGGAATTTTAACTGGTTTTTGGATTGAGTTGCCTTCGTTTGGCATGCCAAGCTTTGCCATAAAAAGACAAAATAGACTTTTTAGCCTAATAAAACAAAACATTACATTCAAACCATAATCATTTCATTTTCTCTCACAAAAGTCAAGAAAGTCAAAAAGCTTATCTCAAACGAGGCTTTTTAGCCCTAGACTAAAATAGCCAAAAAGCCAATCCACATCCCAAACGAATGCTAGTCTTTTTTGTTTGCTTGCTAGGTTTTTTCCCCGCAGAATTAGTAGAAGAATTTTGTTCAAATTTCCAAATTCAGAAGGCTAATGGTATCAGCCCAATAAATCTTAGAACATTTAGCTGATTTTGAAAACATCAAAAACTAAAGATACCATACACTTAACTAAAATTTTATTCAGATGATTCCTTCCTTTGGTGTTTGAAGTGATTAAGCATTTCAATCGCTGCAAAGGTTAAACTATCTATAAATCCACCAAGAACCATAACATTATGAATTATATCAAACATTCATGTTTGACAATACAATATATTCACCTACTCAATATCTAGTGAAACATGCATATTTGAAACTAGAAATATTGATCATATTTGAAAAATTATTGCAATTCCTACAACAGAAGCAATCCACAAAAGAAAAACACTAAGCCAGCAATAAAAATAAAGATCAAACAGAACATTAAAATTATTAATGCAAACAAAAAAGATAAAGAAAAAAAAAACATTCTAACACATAAACTTGAAGAGTAACAATTGTGCTAGAAATGACGAAAGATCACAAAATGTTGAACACCCCATTGATGATAAGATGACGTATTAGTAAAACATACATGAGTATTTCCACATTCAAAGCTGCAATTCATCGATCTACTCCTGTTCGGCATCTTTACTCTTCTTTTTCTTCTTCTTCTTCCCGGTTTTGTTTGCCTCGTCATCACTCCCACCAGTACCCGTAGGCAATACAGAGGCACTTCCATTCTGTGCGTCTTTGCTCTTCTTCTTTTTCTTCTCAGATTTCTCCAAATCAGAAGTCACATCCTCACCACCCCCTTCTTTTTTCTTTTTCTTTTTCTTCTCTTTCTTTTCAACTTCCACCTCTAACTCCTCTGTTTCAGCCCCCACTACTACAGTTTCATCAATCTTTACTTTCTTAGCAACATCTGGCACAGGGCTCCCATCAATCGCCTCCAATTTACGCTTACGACCCTCTTTGCCATTTTCCCCATCCTTATGCTTTTTCTTCTTTTTCTTCTCTCCCTCCGCTGCCTCTGTATTTGCTGGTTCAGTTGCAGCAGCAAGACCCGCAACCATAGAATCACCTCCTGAGGGAAGAACCACATTCCTCATCCACTCAGATGGGGTGTTCTCATTTGGTTTACCACGCTTATCCAACTTTCCCTCCGTAATCAGCTTCTTCTTCATAGAAGCCCTTGGACCCAACCCCCATTTCCTTGGATACATATCTCTATCCATCACTACCCTCTTAATCTTCGCCACAACCCCATGATCACAAGTAGCCATAACAGCCGTAGTCATCTCTGCAATCCCCAACGCAATCGCCTCTCCCTTAGTAGTCATCAAAACCACCTCTTCCCCGACCTCAATATCATTCTCAAACCTCAATAACCCGGGAATCATGAACTTAGCACCATAACAAATCGCATTCACCGCCGAATCCTTCACAACCAATCTCTTATAACTAGTCAACAAAACCTCCAATGGCATAATCACTCTCCTCAAATAACTCTCATCTCTATAATTATCGTATATCCATTGCGCATCCATGACATCATGCATCGTCACCATATTATCATTCTCACCCATAATCCCCGATCGCACTCTTCGAAGCTCTTGCATATGAGCTCCAACACCCAAAATCAGACCCAAATGAACACACATTGTCCTCACATACGTACCCGCCTCACAAGAAATCCAAAACACAACCAAATGGCGATCTGGATCATACTCTAATAGCTTACATTCATAGATTGTCCTAATCCTAAGCTGCCTTTTCACCGCCGAAATCAGCGGAGGGCGCTGAAAAACTGCACCAGTTAGGGTTTCCAAAGCCCGACCCACCTTGGCAACATCGGGCACACCCGAATGGAGCCGGGCAATACACACATACTCCTTCCCAGCCCCTTGCTGGGACTTCACGAGCCGGGTAGCCCGATCAATACAAACGATGAGGTTTCCGGTGACTTTCGGGTCGAGGGTACCGCTGTGGCCCGTTTTCTCGACCCGGATGATCCGTTTGATCCAAGCCACGACCTCGTGAGAAGAGGGGTTGGCGGGTTTGTCGAGATTGAGAACACCGTACCTGATATACTCTGCGAGAGGGCGTTTGAGGGGGGAGAAACCAGAGGGAAGAGGAGTGTAGTGTCCGGTTCGTACATTGAGGCGGTCGTAGTTCTTGAGGAGGATCGGCCATTGAGAGGTGTCGATGGAGGGAGTGAAGCTTTGGGGTTTGATAAGGTAATCGGTGTCGGTTTGGGCGTTTGGGTCCGGACCCGAATCGGATTTGGATTTGCTCTTCTTTTTCTTCTTCTCGGAACGAGTTATCTCGAGGTCAGACATGGCTGTGTTGAGTTGAGTTTTCTGCAAATTAGGGTTAGGGTTAAGGTTAGGGTTTTGGGGGGAAGAAGACACAGGAGGCTAATTGGAGTGGGAGAGGATATAGAGGAAGAAATAGAAATTAGGGTTTAGGGGTTTGAAGGTGGGAAATATTATGGTGTAAAGAAATGTTTGAAAGCAATTTGCTCCGCCAATTGTTTGTTGCCACCTGGTAAGTTTATGGGCTATGGGCCTGAGGTCCTTGGGCCTCTTTTTTTTGCTGATAACATGGGCTTTATACCCCCAGGCTCTCCGTCTCCGTTTAGTTGTTGGGCGGTCTCCATTAGCCGAGTTTCAAGTCGTGGCATTCGAATGTGCCTCGACTAGATTTGGTTAGGGTTTGATTTGAGAGCCAAATATATACACATGGATATTTTTTTCATTTTGCAAAGACTTGTCCTTGTATACCTAAGAAATTAGCGGGTGGATCTTCCGGCTTAAAAATTACAGAATTGAATTTTTCGTCTGAATGCCCTATTTTAAAACATTTTAAATTTGAATAAATTTTAAAATTTATTAAATTTTAACAACTTAGTAAGGTTGTTTTTTATATTATATAAATTATAGAAAATCAAGTTATTCTAACTTATCTCGTGATTGATTCAATTAAAACTCATTTAAGATTAGTTTGAAAAGTCAACAAGTCAAAGTTAGGCATTATTTGGTATAAACTACTTATTTAGGTTACATTACTTCTTTATTTTTATGGTCATATTTTCATAAAAAATTTAAAAAATATATTTATTTAAATTATTCCAAACAACCCCTTAAAACTAATTAAATTTTAAACCAAACTTAGATAACCTTTGTTTGGTAAGATGGTTAAGACTGATTTAACTCATTAAATGACAAAAGTTAAAAGACTTATAAAACAAAAAAATTACATTCAAATTATAATCATTTTACTTTTTCTTCCACAAAATTATAAAATAGTTAAAAATTCATCACAAATAGAATTTTTTTTAATCAAGTTAAAAAATCAAGAAATTAGACTAAATTTTTTTTTTCCCAAACAAAATGATAACGTACTACCTGAATTACCTCCCTTCCTCGTTGAATTCAAATCCTTTGAAATTACGTTATGCAATATTTGATATGGTAAATGGTTAATTAGTTCAAATTACTACTTAGATAATAATTCTACGTAAGTATATATACTCATGTTTTTCTTTCTTTCTTTCTTTCTTTCTTTTTTTTTTAAATTTTATGTTTGCACATATTCACAATTTATTGACCAATTAAAAAAAGTTGAGATTTTTACGGGCCAGTCCTATTTTCAAGGGTTATTACCCAACAGGTCCTTAATAGAGACTTTTTTTTACCTATAAGTCCTGAACATTTTTATTTATTCCGTTTTTGCCCTCATATTTTTATACTCAGATCTGGAGATGAAAAAAAAAAAAAAAAAGAAAAGCTCTATCTGCACATCTCTCTCGACGATACCATGGATGGTCCGATCAAAGAAGAAGATCCGTCACCATCGCCACCGCATTCAAGGATAATGTTCACTACGAAGTTTAGATCTACAACTGTCGTAGTCCACCATTGCCAAGCTACACATGGATGATTTTCGGCGAGTTTCTGATTGTGCTCGGCCGAGCTACGCATGGATGGTGAGATCGTCCACACCAAGATTGCGCGACGTGGACAATAGAGTAGCAAAGGACAACAGACGGCGGTGGCGGTGGCAATTCAAATCTGAGATTGATAAGAGAGAAAGAGAAAAGATTGAAAGTTTGTTTTTTTTATATCAATGTATGTCATTTTCTGATGAATGTTCCCAGATTTGCGTCACATTTGTGAATGGATTTGGAGTGGCGGAGGCTGGTATTGATGGTGGTGGGATTTTCAAAGATTTCATGGAGAACATTACTCGGGCGACTTTCGATGTCCAGTATGGATTATTTAAGGTTGTAATTTGTATAGTATTGTTGAGCATTTTTAAATCTGCTTTCTCTTTCTCTCGGTCATATGTCTATGGTAAAGAAAAATGATCCAAATGCATACTAATAAAGAATGTGATAAATCTGTTTAAATCAATGATAAATTTGTTTAAACTAGTAATAAATCAATAACAAATTTGTTTAAATCAGTAATAAACCAGTGATAAATTTATTTAAACCAGTGATAAATTTACAGCGTTGAGTCTAGGGGTAAAAATGAAAAATACTGTTTGATTGTTTTAGGTAAGACCTGTTGGATAGTAAGATCGATCCATAGGACTAGCCCGTAACTCCCCCTCAAAAGTTTACCTTATAATTAGGCCGATGAACAAAGGAGAGAGACAAAAAAGATTAGGCCCATTAATTAGGCTTATATACATAACATACTTCGTGGAGTATGGATGGTTGTTATGAGAGACACATCAGTCACGATGGTGCAGTTCATGAGATTTATTTTAGGGTTTATTTTGATAATTTTAATCATTCAAATTTTTAGGTACAATATACTTGTAAAAAATTAAATTAATAAGACATCGATAACTCTTTCATCGAATCACATTTGTATCAATTTTATAATTCAAATCATATTTATCATTATTTTTTTAGATAGAAATGCAGTTCGATGAAAGGGTTATTTATATCCGATCAACTTGATTTTTGGCAAGTATACTCTATTTGATGTATCTTAAAAAATAAACGATTCTGATTATCAAAATAAACCTTGCACAACAGTGACTGATGTGCCCTGCACAACAAACATCCCAATTCCTATTTTCACAGTTTCATGGCCTTGGTCAAGGTCGCTGGTCTATTAAGGTGGGCCTTAGGCCCATTGATTTTGTGCTGAAAGTCGAAGATTCCATTTGCACTCAAAAAATCATTAAGTACGTCTAATTTCTCAAAACACTTAATTAAATTATTTATAATTATAATTTACTCTCAGTACATCTTTCCCCCCCCCCCAAAACTCTTCAAGGTACACTCAAATTAGAAACAAATTAAAAATCTCAAATTATACCACTTCGAAAAAATTTTTTTATAATTTATTTCTGAAAATAAATTTTGAATCGTTCAATTTCCTTATCAATATGTATGTGTGCAACAATGAATATGTCACCCATGCACTACAACAAAAAGCAGTTTTGGCGACCAAAAATATAAATTTCGTCGCCGAAAGTAGGACAATTGGTGACTAAAATTGAATTAGTAGCCAAAAGTGAAGACTTTTGGCGACTAAAACAGTTTAGTAGCCAAATGTGTACTTATTGGCGACTAAAAATCAGATTAGTCGCTGATTACATGGGTTTTAGCGACTAAAACAATTTTAGTAGCCAAAGGTGAAGGTTTTTGGCGACTAAAAAAGATTAGTAGCCAAAAGTATAGGCTTTGGCGACTAAAAAATGGTTTGGTCGCCGATTGTAGGTGTTTTACCTAGACGAAAATTAATTTTTTTAGCAACTAAATTATTGGTAGTAGCCAAAACTAAGGTTTTTGGCAACTAAAAAAAACTTTAGTCGCCAAGTGGCTCCCCTTTTTTTTTAATAATTAATTTATTTTTTACATAAATTAATATTGAATAAAAATAATTATATTTATATATATAGTTTTAAATTAATACGGGTCAATATACTATATAAATAATATATATTGCATATATATTCATGTGATCTTGTGGTGGCATAGTAGAGGGAGTGTGTTGGTAAAGGTGTACAAAGTAGAAGGTCCGTGGTTCAAATCTCAGAAAAAGCAAAAAAGTTGGTAATTTTTTTTTTTTCACTGAAGCACCTTTGGCGACTAAAATTATTAGTCGCCAAAAGTCTTTATTTTGGCGACTAAATGGATTAGTCGACGATTCAGTGAGTATTGGCGACTAAAGGATTAGTCGCTAAATGTATGATTTTGAAAAGTGTAAATCACTATTGGCGACTAAAATGTTGGTCGTGAAAGAGCTGCTTTTTGGCGACTAAAAACGTTTTAGTCGTCAATACCTCTGCCGACCATCTATACGCGACAAAACCAGCGACTAAAAAAATTAGTCGGGGAAAGTAAAAAGTAGACTTTTGGCAACTAAAAACGGATGTTTGGCGACTAAAAATTTAGTCGCCAAATGTGCTTTTTCTTGTAGTGATATATATATATATATATATACATATTAACAATTCGAATTATCAAAAAAATGACCCAAAACAAACCCCACTTAGGCATTTACTCCATATCCAGCACCTCAATGATTTACTATTTTTGATATAACTAAAAATGGTCATTTCCAAACATATTAACTTTTTTTCAAAAAATTTAGTCGCCAAAGGTGTTTTTTCTTGTAGTGATGGTTGATCAAGCACTCATTCTTGAGATCAATCACTTGATGTTCCTCTAATGATCTAATATTTGAAAACGATATCATTATCACCAAAGGCCTTTGTATTTTAGACTACATATATAATCTCATAAACATACTAATGGGCATAGTCAATAGGCTCAAAACCTCATATTTGGTCCCTAGCAACAAAATGTCGCAGGTCACCATAGAGATAGATGTCTGGAATAATTAACAAATGATACAACACTTGTCAAAGAGAAAAGTTTATACAACATATATATCAAACAAGTTACAACACAGTAAGAAATAATGATGAATTTTGATGGAGTGGATTGGAATCTTTTAGAGTCAGGATGAAGATGAAGAAACTTAAATATGAAGAATACATATATATGATTTGGGTGTACTATGAGAAAAAAAATATTTATTTTAAGGTTTCATGTGTATTGTCCTTATTAATAGATTTACATTAGGGTATAATAGGTACTAAAATTTCAAAACTTTAATTGGGTGTACTGAGTTGTTATTTGGGTACAAATAGAATCACCCCCAATTATAATTTGTTTTAAGCCCAAGAAAAATCCAAACAAAACTAGCCCTTGAAAATCAAAAGAAACTCGTATTAATTTATTTTATTTTTTAAAAAAATAAGAACTAGTTTGATGAAAATAACTACAAAAAAGTATTCCTGAAAATTCAAATTTGAAAATGAAACTAACACATTCTTTTTTTACCCCCAAAAAAAATCCTTATTTAGTGCACACACATAATAATAATAATAATAATAATAATAATAATAATAATAATAATAATA